GCTAAATCCAACACTTGGTATTTGTAAGCAGTACATAATATATATTTTTTTCTTAATACATGCCATATTCTAATTTTTTAACAAAATAATCTACATCTAATTGTAATGCTTTGTATTTGTTCTTTAAATAAACGTCATATTATTTATAATTATAAGCATACTTATGTTATGTGATAATAATTTATTATATTTAAAAGTAGTTCAAAAAAATGGAAAATTATTTTTAAGACATAAATATGATTATTATATACCAAGCTACGGGTCGTTGACATAAGTCAACCTAGTTTGACTGGTTGACCCTTGACCTAGTTGCTAGTTCGGTTCGACGTCCGATCTGGCTTTTAGAACATTGTCAAATATCTGAAACTTTTAATAAAAAATTCAAATGATTATTAAAGGAATGTGAAAGTGAATATTGTAATCCATAATACTGAACAGCTTCAAATACGTAAAAAACTACTTTCTATATAGTAAATACTTAACCGAAACAAATTATTTGAACAAAAATATAAATTCAAAATCGACCAAGTACTTTATGGAAGTAATGGTAAGATACAAAGGTTAGAGACTTAGTGGGTAATGTATATTTTTTGATATATGGGCCAAGTATAAATGTATAATGGGATGGGTAGAAGATTATATTTATTAAAATAATTTTAATTTGGTACTCGGATAAACGGATATTGAGATAAATGGTTATTTAAACAGAAATATATCCGGATTGGGTATACAATTACCAAATCTGTATCCGTTTAATAATCGGATGTTCTTAATCGGATACGGATAATATCTGTTTAAAATGGATGTGGATTATTCTCGTTTAAAGGGATACAAATGCGAATGGTAATTGGATTTCCAGTTATGCATTGACAGCCCTGGACTTATTCGTGTGATGTTATGTGGTTCTATATGATTGTGGTACTACTCTGTAAGTTGATTTGAGTTATAGATATATTCTCACTCAGCTAGGCATGTGGTCTTTGTTATCTTTGGCTGCAGGTATGAATCTGGGATTCGATGAGCAACCCGACGGTCAAGGATGCTTGGTGAAGTGGATGTCCCGAAGATGTTTTATGTTAAATTAATTATTCATTTAAACTTGTTTATTTAAATTATAAGAATGTTTGGCAATGTTGTTCTAAAAGGCTTTTACAATGTTTAATTTATTACTCCGATTAGATACATGTTTTTAACGATGAATGGTTTTGTTTTATATTTTTTGTAATTGAAGTGCATGTGGATAGAAATTAAGTGGCAACATAGTTTTCTAATTTCTTTGTCCGGGTTACAAGGGTTAGGGTGTTCCATCTTTGTATCAAAGCACGTGGTTTCAAAAATGGTCTTCGGACCCATGTTTCCAAGTACCTTTTTGCAAACCTAGGCATCCAGAGGTTCGCTATGTCACGACTCTGGTAGGTAATTTATTATTATCTTATGTGAATAATCACTGATTATTGAGATTAAGTATTACCTTATGTGACAGTATTGCCTTGTGTGAATCAATGTTGCCTTATGTGAATAGGTTTGTAATTCATTCATGATTTTAGTGACCCATATATAGAATAAGGCACTCTTCCATTCATAACAATCCATGACAACATATATGTGCGATCATGTTATGTTAAAAAATAATAATAATTTGTGTCATGTGCTAACCAAACACGTAGATTGATGTGTTCAATTTTCATTAAGAGGCATAGTAATTAAATCACCAAAACTTTAAAATTAAACAAGTTTCTTGATCAATGACTAAAACCATGTCTTTCACAATAAAGATTGTTTTTAAAACTTTGTTGAGTATGATTATATATTTTACACAGAGTACCTTAGAAGAATTTTGGGGATGAAAGTCTTTTAAAGGGAAGAGAAAGGTAATGCCTCAAAATATACCCTATAATTAATGATAAATTTCAAATAAGTCATAATTCCAATTTTGCTTAAATTAACTAAGAATTGAACTGTATGGATAAAGTAAGATATTTTGGAAGTTATCTTTTTATGGTCAAATTTGTATCTAGATTGTAGGTCTCGAAGAGACAAGCCCAACGATGTATTCCGTGTGCGAATCCGAGTTACGAAACTAAGTAATCTAACCAGCCAAAGAGGAAAAAATAAAGTAATAGGTATTTTTTTTTTAAAATGAAAATTTTATCATTATTTAATACGGAAGAAAACCGAAGATACATCAATGATTATCATTTTTGGGTAGATGCTCCAATTGAGAATAATAAGTGCTGAAATCGTTATTAAGTGTAAACTTTGCGAGGTTGTGTGCCGCAGTGTTTGCTTCCCGATAAATGTGACTTATTTTCCCCCCTGATTTCTGTATTGTTTCCATGATTTCTTTGTGGGAGGAGTTGGATGATTCTTTAATTTTTCTCACCCCATTCTTTGAGTCCATGTAGAGATTAATAGGTTGACCAAGAAATTTGCTGCATTTGACTCCTAGAGCTGCTGCCTTTACCTCACCTTCTTATGGGTCTGTTTCACCCTGCGAAATTTTTGTCCATGCTCCAATGAAATTTCCGTTTCTCTGCCAGATGATCGCTGCTGCTGCCATCCGATCATGGGAAATTGCAACATCAGTGGTGACGCAGAGTCCTTGCTTTGGAAAAATCCATCTGAAGGTCTGTATTGCTCCCATCTTTGTGACTGGTAGATGGCTAGTGATACTGGTTCCTTTCCCTTTAATTGCGCTATACTCGTAAATTTGTTTGATGATTTGGTGTTGTATCTGGGCTGTTGTATGTTCTTCCTCATTGTAGATGCGAAAGTTCCTCTCTTTCCAAATAGCGTGCGTTATAAATCCTGGTAGTGCAACTTTTAGGTTGTAGTCCTTTGTGTTTTTTTTCAGTTGATTCCACCCATTTAAGAGGAAACTTCTTATGCCATGGTTGACACTTCTGTGAATTC